TCTATTTCCATTCAGCATTCACCAGAGAGCCATCATACATAACTTCTCTAAAATTCTGTTTTTAGATCATTAACTTTCTTGTTTATATTTTTGTTAGATTTGTCTAGATTTGACAGGGTTACATATAAGTTCTCAGTTATTATAGTTTTACTCTCTATTTTTCCTTATAAGTCATTTAGTTTTTCCTTTAAGTATTAAAGTATTAAGTATTTAGATGCTATACTATTTAGTACATTTTATGTACATATAAGATATAAAAGCATTGATATTAATTTCATTTTCTACGGTGCATTTAAACATAATGTATCTTTTAATTGAGGTTATTTTTACTGTTTCCTTGTCTAAGATCATGATTGATACCATTGCTTTTTTGAGTTCACCTTAAGTATAATAAGCTTGCTCCAGTCCCTTTGTCAGGATATCAGTTTCCCAACACAGCTTCCCTCACCCTGATACAGCTTTCTCCCCACACACAACTTGCACACATGACTTCCTTTGGCTCCAGCTTCTCTAGTGGCTTCTCTTGTCAGGTTTTGAAGCTCCCTCCCCACCTCCATCGCCCACCTGCCCAGGAAACTTGACTGGCCACAGCTACTCTGATGCAGGTTCCTGACCTAAGGACAATAAAAAGCCAAAGTCATGCTGACTTGGGGCCTCTTAGACATGGTAGATGCCTAGGACTGCCTAAGTTATCATATTCTATAGACCTGTTGATTAGGCATGTTTCCATGAGAAAGTGAGAGAGGCCGTGTCTACCAAAGTTAGAACTTAGGTGCCACTGTATCTTTAATGTGTTAGGGCAAAATGAATCTCCTCTGGTAAATATTCAGTGATTCAAGAAAGCCTCATTTTTTCCCAATATCAAAACTTAACTAAGAGGGCTTTAGAGCCATCTCCATAACACCCTTATGTGAATTTTTATGTTTCAATTGTGTTTCTTGAAAATAACATATTGTTGGATTCTGCTTACCAATCTAATCTCTTCTGTTTTATGAGTGAATTAATCCCATTCACATTCAGAGTTAAGATTTTTAATTGAATACTTCCCTCAATCTTATACTCTTATACTTTGCATTCTCTATGCTCCCTACTCATCTATAAAGAAAAGGAAGGTGGTGAGTGAGGAGTGTGCTCAGTACTAGTGATCTATATTTGATGCAATCTAACTCCACTCTTCTGCTTATCTTCTCTTTACCCAGGTTCTTGTCTTTTTTTTTTTTTAATCTTTTCTTTCCTTTTTAAACCACTTTTGTTATTTGCCCTCCATGGCTAGATTTGTTTTACTTATCATTAATTCCTCTCTTAATATACCCTCCCTCTTATTCCTGTCTCTCTGCCCTTTTAATTATCTATTTCTATGTTAAGTGTATTTCTGCACCAGACTGTGTATTGTTTTAGAATGTCTGTGTATTCTATTTTGCTTTGTCCATTTCAATTAAAAGTGAAGTTTAGGTGACATCTGCTTCCCCAATCTCTTTCCAACATTTTGCAGCTGAGGAAAGTGAGTCTCAAAAAGGTTAAATGACTTTTCTATGGCCAAATAGAAGAGTAGGCAATTAATATTAATAGAAGTTAAATAGATGTTAATAGGTCTTAATAGGAAAAGTGAAAATCTGGATTCAAATCTTTCTTCTTAATTTAAGTTCAACACTTTATTTACTTTGCCAAATTACCTCTCTGTTCAATTTAACATTTTTAGAGATAACTTTGATGAAGACATGATATTACATACTTATTAAATCTGCAGATGACACAGAACTGGAATGGATAAAATGAGTATCTGGATCCAAAAAGATCTAGACAAGTGAAAAGAATGAGTCAAAACTAATAAGATGAAATTTAATAGGAATAAATATAAAGGTCTATGCTTGAGTTTTAAAAAAAAATAGGAAAGGGAAGGCATGGTTGAACAAAAATTTCTGAAAATAAATCTGGAGATTTAAGTAGTTGCTAAGCTTAATTTAAATTAACAGTATAACATGGCAGCTAAAAGAAGCTAATACTATGTTACATTAAAAGAGAAATCATGTCTAGAATGAGGGCAATAATAATTCCACTATACTTTGTCCTACTCAGGTTGTATCAATCAACAAGATTTATTATGTACCTTCTGTGCTTGTAGAAACTATCCCATACACTATGGATACAAAGACAAAAATCAAACACTCTGCCCTCAAGGAGCTTACATTTATGCATGTGTATATGTGTATGCATATACATCTAATGTATTCTATGCAGTTCTGAGTAATACATTTTATAAAAGACTTAGACAAGCTGGAGTACATTTGAAAGAAAGCAACCAGGACAGTGAGAAAACTACAGAATGTGCCATTTCAGGATCTCAGAAAGAAAGGAGGGAATTTACTCTGGAGAAAAGTCATGATGTACACCACAAATTCTTTAGGTTTCTGAAGGGCTGTTAAATGGAAGAGAGTTCTGCTTAGCCACAGAGAAGAGATATGCAGTAAAAATTACAAAGGTGCAGATTTAGGCTTGATGTAAAGAAAAACTTCCTTACATAGCTATTAAAAAGTGGAAATTGGCTGTGTGGGTAGTAGAAGGTTCCCCTTTATTGGAAGTTATCAACAAAGGTTGGACTTGCTGGTCTTGCTGAAGGGATTTTTGTTCAAGTGTAGTCTCTGGGGGTTCTTTTAGCTGTGACATTATGTAAAATCTTTCCTGGACTCAAAGCATAGGGCTCAGGGTAATTGCTCCTATTTGTACTACCTTGACAGCTATGTAAATGGTATTTGTCATCTATAACTGTTTGATGAGCAAATAAGTCATATTCTTTCACCTATTAAGTAAATCTATATAGAAATCTTCTGGAGGATTTGTATAGCATGAGAGGATTCATCTCTTTTCTATAGACCTAGAGAGAATGTCATTGCATCTAGCAGACCTGGAAGGATTAAAATGAGTAGTTTAAAACATCCCATTTTTTTATAGCAGTTTTACTTGGCTGGTGAGCCTATTTTGATAGGGTCCTATACTCAAGATAAGCATGAAAAAATTTCTATGTACAGTATTTGAGTCATATGATATTTTAGTCAAATAAGGATCAGTTGAAGTTATTTGAGATGTTTAGTTCGGAGAAGACAATATGTAGGGGAACAAATATGTATAGAATTGTCACATGGGAAATGAACTTACTCTGCTTGTACAAGAGAACAGAACTAGAACAAACATGTGGCAGTTACAGGTTCAATATAAGGAAGAGCTTCCCAAAAATAAGAGCTGCTTTGGGGTGTACTAATTGCCCCATCATTGGAACTTTTTAGGAATAGTATGTTGCTTCAGATAGAGTTGAACTAGATATTGTATGTAGAATTCCTTGAGGGATATTTCATCCTGTCTTTATGTCCCAAGCACCACACAGTGATCCTGCACAAAAATAGGTACTTAAAATATTGTTCTTTTTTGATCCACCAAAAAGTTAAATGATTATATGTTTTGAGGTAAAATCTAAAACAGAAGAGTGGTGGGGAAAGTGGATATGGAGTCAGAGAACTTTGGTTCCATCCTTGGCTTTGCCACTTAGTTACGTTGGACAAATTACTTCACTTCGTTAGTTTATTTTCCTTATCTGTAAAATTAAGAGGTTTGGAACCAATGAGCTTCTTTCTAGCTTAAAATACAAGTTATTTCTATTTTTTTTTACTACATTGCTATCTAGTAAAAGAATTTTAAATTAATCTTTAACCCATATTTATTATCATTAGTTTATTAAATACCAGTATTTTATGTTTGCTTGGTTCTACTTTTGGGATCCTTGTTCTCTTTCATTGATCCATTATTCTGTAGGGCATTTTTTTCCCCAGTATCAGTGAGTCTTAATGATAATGGAGGATGTATATAGAATACCCTAATGTCAGATATAGTAAATTCTCCTTCATCTTTTGTCCAACATCCATTGATATTCTCATCCATTCATTTCAACACCTAAATGTTGATCTACTCTCTAACATAACCCATAGGTATTTGGATTGGGGTAAATTACCTCTGTAAAATTTTAAAAGTATGTTTGTCGAACTGAATAACATCTGAGGACCTTTCTATCTAGGTATTATTAAAATTAGACTAAAAACACTTCTGAAGTTTTATGTTAATTGGGGAAATGTTATTACACTACAATAGAATCAATGAAGTTATCATAACAAAAGAAAATGCCTAGGGAAGTGTCTAACATGTAGCTGCTAGAGCTGAGGAATTTTTTGCACTTTCCTTGGAGAATATTAACAGTATATTTAGATTACTTAGACTCACAAAAAAAAAAACTGTCACAACTAGAAGAAACCTTAGAAGTCTCTTACTAATGAAAGAACTGTGGTCCAGAGAGGACAATTGATTCATTCGAGATGAATCTCAGGAAAGACAGTTGGGCAATGTCACTAGGTTTGAGCAGAACCTGTGGTTTTAGAAATCAAACACAAATACTAATTTTTTAAATGTGTTTATTTGTTTATTCTTAGTTTTCAACATTCACTTCCATAAAATTTTGAGTTCCAAATTTTCTCCCTATCTCTCCCCTCCCTCACCCCAAGACAGCATGCAATCTGATATAGGCTCTACATACACATTCATATTGAACCTATTTTCATCTTAGTCATGTTGTAGAATTGGAACCAATGGGAGGAAGCATGAGAAAGAAGAAACAAACAAACAAAAAGAGAAAAAAAGAGAAATCAAACAATGTATTTCGATCTGCATTCAGACTCCACAGTTTTTTTTCTGGATGTGGACAGCATTTTCCGTCATGAGTCCTCTGGAGTTGTCTTGGATCCTTGCATTGCTGAGAGGAGATGAGTCTGTCAAAGTTAGTCATTGCACATTGTGGCTGTTGCTGTGTATAATGTTTTCCTGGTTCGGTTCACTTCACTGAGCATCAGTTCATTTAAGTCTTTCCTGGTTTTTCTAAAGTCTGCCTGCTCATCATTTCTTATAGCACAATAGTATTCTATTACATTCATATACCACAACTTGTTCAGCCATTCCCCAACTGATGGACATCCCCTCAATTTCCAATTCTTTGCCACCACAAAAAGAGCTGCTATAAATATTTTTGTACATATGGCACAAATACTGATTTTTCAAAAGGCCAGATCTTCTGCTAGGACAACTGCATTTGTTGGATAGAAGGGAGTGGCAACTTCAAGAAAAAATATGGGAAAAGAGGGGAAGAACAGGGAAGATGGAAAGGAGCAGGAGAGATAACAGTGATTTGTAAAACCCACATCATTCCTCTAGGTGTCATTCCCTGGGTTGCTAGTGAATTATATGCTCCAAAGCAGATATATGGGATAAATAATGCTATTTTGTCAATGTAACTTTCTCCAGATCTACTTATCTGATATCTGAAAAAGTTGTTCACAGTGCTTGGAGGAGTTAGCTTAATTCAGTGACCGTGTGAATTTTTTGATGACGGATAAGGTTGCAATGACGATTGAATCTTTTCCCACATTCACTACATCTATGGGGTCTTTCTCCAGTGTGACTTCGCTGATGTTCAGTAAGGAAGGAGCGCCGACTATAGCTTTTACTGCACTGGCCACACTGATAGGGTTTTTCTCCATTGTGGATTCTCTGATGTTGAATAAGTCCTGCACTCTGACTGAACGCTTTCCCACATTCCCTACACTGATAACGTTTTTGTATATTGTGGATTCCCCGATGATTAAAAAGACCTGAACTCCTACTAAAGGTTTTACCACATTCATTACACTCATAAGGTCTCTCTCCAGTATGAATTCTTTGATGTCTAATAAGGCCAGAGTTTTGAGTGAAGTGTTTTCCACATTCATCACATTTATACAGTCCTTCCTCTATAGGATTTTCCCATGGCTTTGCTATCCTGCCCTCATGTCCACAAATTTCTCCATACTTGGGGTCATGGTGAGCATTCAAATTTAATCCACTGGATACCTCCCTGTATGGTTCCATTGTCTTATTATATTCCTGCTTTATTGACAACTCCATGTTCTCAGTGCTTGTCATACCATCTGAAACAATAAACAAACCATATAAATGTCACCTGCTCTGTGTATATGTAAAGGTAAGGAATGTAGAAAGCCAAACAGAAATGCTGAAGTAAAGAAGTAAAGAGGTAAAGAGTAAAGAAAGTTTACTCTTCTAGCCACAGCACTCTTTAATTCCCTGCCTTTGAACCTTTTCAATGTAGAGCAGCTCTAGGGGAAATCTTCCCACAATGCTACACAAAAATGAAAATATATGTAATAATGTGGCATTTAATCTTGACTCTCATGACTGATGTTGTCCACTCCCCATCCCAATAATAAGGATCTTTCTCTCACATCTGACTGATTTTTTTCTTCTACTCACCTGTACAGATACCTCTTAGGACCTCTCTTTTCTCAGCACCCTGTGGATCCAGGGACAGTGGTTCTCCTCCTTCCTTCAGCTGAGAGATAACAGCAGTTTTGGAAAGTGGAAATATTGATGCTGGAGAAAAATGGGCCATGAATGAGACCAGTCCTGCCTTGAGCCTACCCCTACGTTAGGGAAGCATGTTCCATCCTTCTTGCACTACTCTGCTAAGCACTTAATGAACTGGGTAATTGTGTATAATATAAAGAATAAGACTTTTCACATATTATATACTTTCAGGAGATATAACAAACTTACATATTCCATTTACTTTTTCTAAATTTATTTTATGTTTGTGCCTATAGAATATCAGTCTTCAGCAATAACCCACAATGATACAGCTTTTTAAGACTGACAAAGTGCTCTATTCATAAAAACCTTATGAAGTAGATACTTCAAGTGTTATGAACTCCATTTTACAGTTTCACTCATAGGAGGAGATGAGAGAACCTTGGGAGTTTGTTATTGAGGAGAAGAAACCTGGGCAAAATCTTAAATACCATTTCACTTGGTGTTCTCATCAGCTGCCATGGTTTCAATTATTATCTCAATACTGATGATTTTCAGATCTACTTATCCAGTGCTAACATCCAGTCTCACATTTCCAGCTGCCTTTCAGTTTCTGTTTGTTTCCCTGAGAAATAGAAAGACTTGTGTCAGGCAAACCACAAGTCTCACCCCAACCAGTCCATCCTCTATTCATATTCCTCTGAATCCATCATATTTGTTATTTCTTAGACACAATAATATCCCATTATATTCATTAGTTACAATTTGTCCTGCCATTCCCCAATTGATGGGCACTTATTTTTGTTTCTAGTTCTTTGCCACAGCAAAAAAATACTGCTGTATTCTGGTACAGAAGAGGCCATGAAACATCTTGCACCTTTTAACAGAAGCGTAATGATAGATACAGAGATACAAAGTGAAATATGTCAGACATCTTAGAAAGGAGAGCTTCTACTCAAGCTACTACTCAAGTGGGTAGTAAAATATAACCTCCCCACCTAAAACATTTTAAAATTGCATATAAAAATTTTAAAATGCAGTAGATATATTGTCGTTGTTGTTCAGTTGTTTCAGTCACGTCTGACTCTTTGTGGTTTTCTTAGTAAAGATACTGGAGTTTGCTCTTTCCTTCTCCAGCTTGTTTTATAGGTGAGGAACTGTGGCAGACAAAGTTAAGTTCAGGGTCACACAGGTAGTAAGTGTCTGAGGCCAGACTCAAACTCAGGTCTTTCTGACTCCAAGACCAATGCTCTATCCACTTAACTGCCCACAGAAGATTGTTGTTGGTCATCCTTTGTTCTCAAAGAGGACCAATAACATCAAACAGTTATAATAATATAGTGAGGCAGGTAGGTGGTACAGTAGATAGAGTGGCAGATTCAACTTCCTGAGTTCAAAGCTGGCCTCAGACACTAGCTATGTGACCCTGGGCAAGTCACTTAACCCTGGTTGCCTCAGTTCCTTATCTGTAAAATGAGCTGGGGAAGGAAATAGCAAACCACTTGAGTACCTTTGCCAAGAAAACCCCAAATGGGGTCAAGAAGAGTTAGATACCACTGAAACAACTCAACAATAACATAAAAAACCCTCTCTATATGATAGTTTATAGTTTCTTGTCATTATGCAGTGAAATGTTTGTGTTTTTTTATGATTAAGTACACTTTAAAATTTTAAAAACAACAAGACTACCAAAAAAAAAAACCAAACAGATGAGCAGATTTTTTTCTTAACAAACATCCTGGACAATGAAAACACAATATGAATGAATACAGGAACCAAGTAAAGGAGAAGTAATGAAGTAAATTACTCCAAAGTTAAAAAACCAGAAAGAAAAAGACATCTATGTGGTTCAAAAACAACAACAACAAATAATTCTAGAGGGACCATTGAAAGATTTCTTTCTAAAAGGACACAAGAAAAGAAGAAAGAACTTAAATAAAGGTGATGATGGAGTACAAGCCTAAAACACCCTATCTATAAGTGAAAAAAAATTTTTTATGGAACTAAACTACAGAATGGGAAGGTGCATAAAAAAAGAAAAGGGAGGAAGAAGACTGAGGGGAATGTGTGATGTGCCCTAATTAAGTCAATAGTATACAATGAAGGGAAAATTTTTGTAGCCTCTCAGGAAGTAGATGGCTATAAGGAAAAATGAAGAGGTAGAAGTATTGAAATATTGGGAAAGAAAGAGGGGAATCAGTGGTGATTCAGTAGTGGGAATGGGTTTTACTTACAAACATTGTGTGTGTGTGTGAGAGAGAGAGAGAGAGAGAGAGAGAGAGAGAGAGAGAAAGAGAGAGAGAGAGAGAGAGAGAGAGAGAGAGAGAGAGAGAGAGTCTGTAAAAGATTGAGACCATTGTAAGGACAATGGGTATAATCTTTAAGAATTTGGTGCTTCAAGAGAGCCATCATGAGACAGATATATTCCTAATCCCTAAACCAGGTAATGATGAAACAAAGAAGAATAATAAATATGAATTCAGACATTTTAAATAGGGGATGAATCCAGGATGCCAGAGTAGAGAGAGCATTCAAGCTAAAATATCCTGACATTCCCTCCAAATAGCTTTAAAATAACACATAAAATTGAATTCTGGAGTGGCATAGTCAACAGAAGGTCAGAATTTTTCTAGCCCAAGACAATTAGGAGATTGAAAAGAGAGGTCTGTGATGCTGCAGTGGGGGATGGTCAGAAGTGCAGCACAGTGGCAACACCAGTTGTAGGCATTGGAGGTGGCAGCCACAACAGCAAAAGTTTGGGAGCTCTCACCACTCAGAGAAGATGGGGGAATTGGATAACTGGTCAGAAAGAAATTACAGAGAACTTCTTAAGCTGGCATTGGGTTTAGGGCCAAGCACTGTTTGACAGCTCCATTGCCCATTATTCCAGGGCCCAATCCAGGGCAGAGAGGAGCACTTGTGGTTGTAAGGGAGTAGGGACCCTGGTTACTGTTTCAGGGCAGAGAGAGAGAGCATGGGCTCTTTTTCCAAGTCACAGTTCCAGGGAAGAGAGAAATGTTAGCTATTCCAGTTGAAAAGGAATGTGATGGGGGCAGAGCCAAGATGGCAGAGCAAAAGCAGTGACTTGCTTGAGCTCTCCCCCAAACCCCTCCAAATAGTTGTAAAAAATGGCTCCAGACAAATTCTAGAACAGCAGAACCCACAAAAAGACAAAATGAAACAATTTTCCAGCCCAAAGCAACCTGGATGGTTGATGGAAAAGGTCAGTTGTTGCACCAGTCCAGGAGAGGAGCACAGTGCAGTGTGGGCTGTGCAGTCAAAGACTGGGTCTTAATGAACCTGAAGCAGGCCTCAGGAGACTGAATCACAGGTAGGTGTGGTGGTTTCCAGACTTCTCAACCCACAAATGCCAAAGACAACTTAGAAGGTCAGTAGGAAAGGTCTGTTGGACCTGAGTGAGAGAAGAGAGTGGTCTGGCCCCTGTCTTGGTGCAGCCCAGGGGTGGTTGTGGGGGCAGCAGCTGCTTCTGGAACTCTCAACCCATAGACAGTGGGTGGATCGAGGGGCTGATCAGAGGGGGATTGCAAGGACATCTTTGCTGGTGCTGAGGCAGGATTCTCTTGCTTTGAACATCCTTAAATCTGGGTTGCAGTCCTGGGTCAAAGAGGAGCACTGGTGTGGTGGAGCTTATAGTGGTGGTGGAGAGGGAATCCTCCTCACAGATCAAAGGCAGAAAAGAGTGCAGAAAAGAAGAGTAAACACCTCTCCTTAGATCATACCATCTTGAAAGAACTGGAAACTTACAGGTCTCTAGAAGTATCTCTGAAAACACCTGCATAAAACCTCTAAAGCTTGGGATAGTACATTCTCCACACTGGAAATGGATCCCTACCTTAACAAATTGTTTAAAAGTCAATAATTGACTGGGAACATGAACAAACAGAGGAAAAAAACTCAGACTAAAAAATCTTGCTTTGGTGACGAAGATCAAAACATACAACTGGAAGGAGACAATAAAGTCAAAGCTCCTATATCCAAAGCCTCCAAGAAAAATATGAATTAGTCCCAGGCCATGAAAGACCTCAAAAAGGATTTTGAAAAGCAAGTAAGAGAAGTAGAGGAAAAATTGGGAAGAGAAATGAGAGTGATGCAAGAAAATCATGAAAAACAAGTCAAAGACTTGCTAAAGGAGACCCAAAAAAATACTGAAGAAAGTAACACCTTAAAAAATAGATTAACCCAAATGGAAAAAGAGGTCCAAAAAGTCAATGAGGAGAAAAAAAGCCTTAAAAAGCAGAATTGGCCAAATGGAAAAGAAAGTCTAAAAGCTCATTGAAGAAAATAATTCCTTAAAAATTAGAATGCAGCAAATGGAAGCCAATGACTCTATGAGAAATCAAGAAATTATAAAACAAAACCAAAAGAATGAAAAAATAGAAGATAATGTGAAATATTGCATTGGAAAAACAACTGACCTGGAAAATAGATCCAGGAGAGATAATTTAAAAATTATTGGACTACCCGAAAGCCATGATCAAAAAAAGAGCTTAGACATCATCTTTCAAGAATTATCAAGGAAAACTGCCTTGATACTCTAGAATCGGAGGGTAAAATAGAAATTGAAAGAATCCATTGATCACCTCCTGAAAGAAATCCCCAAAGGAAAATTCCTAGGAATATTATAACCAAATTCCAGAGTTCCCAGGTCAAGGAGAAAATATTGCAAGCAGCCAGAAAGAAACAATTCAAGTATTGTGGAAACACAATCAGGCTAACACAAGATTTAGCAGCTTCTACACTAAGGGTTTGGAGGTCTTAGAATACGATATTCTGGAGATCAAAGGAGCTAGAATTAAAACCAAGAATTACCTACCCGGCAAAATTGAGTATAATCCTTCAGTATAAAAAATGGACATTCAATGAAATAGAGGACTTTCAAGCATTCTTGATGAAAAGACCAGAACTGAATAGAAAATTTGACCTATAGGGATGATATCTAAAAAATAAAATTAAAGGGTGAGAGAGGATTATACTGGGAGAAAGAGAAAGGGAGAGGTAGAATGGGGTAAATTATCTCACATAAAAGAGACAAGAAAAAGCTTTTA